GTTGCTCGTGCAGTGAGTAGCTGAAACCAAGTAGGACCAAGTAGGAGCTGGTACCATAGGCGAGAACCTTGGCGAGGGAACTTAGCACAAGCCAAGGCAGAGTTGGTCGGATAGACGAGGTAAGCTGGCAAATTGGAAAGGAAAAATTTGTGGCTTACAATATGGAGGCCCATATATAGTAAGGGTAATCCCGGTGTGTGGGATTATAAGGTGAGCATGCCCAGATTGAGGAACCACTCCCTAAGCTATTGGATAGGTTCATCCCTATGAATACTTGCTAAGGCATGGTAAAATGTGGAAAGCTATCCTCCTAGTCTGGAGAAGAATAACCAAAAGAAACATATGGGGCCAAAAGGCAAGTAGTATTGGGATGGAACTGAACCATAGAAATCGAAGGCCATAACCAACGGTGGTTATACAAGTTGAGAGTGGAGAATCAAGAGGGTGCTCAAGGATGTTGTTACTAGCAACTACGGTGCCATTGAGAGTCTAAAATGTCGAATTATCCATATTGGACCATATAGTGAGTAAGGAGCTTGCAAAGGAGAAGCCTTAGGAAGCTAAGGAACAGAGTTCCTTGAAGGTTCCCGAAGACAATTCTATGTAGATAAGTACCTAGAAAGCCAAGTGTAAATGGTTCTTAGAGCACACGAAATCAGAGTGGCACAGCAGAAGCGTGGTCTTAAAGCTGGCTATGAGGCGAGGCTATCAAGGTTGGGGAAGTAGTTCCCGAGTGTTCAAAGAGAGGGCTTTGAACAAAAGTCAATGGTTAAGGACTTTCACGCTTATGCATGAACCATGTTACGGTGGCCGGATGACTTGCTAAGTGTGATTGGCGAGTCAAGGGAATAAATCCCCTAGTTGAAGGTGCTAACTTCAAAAGGGGTGGCCCATGGGGCCGAGCATGGAGGAGTCCATGCATGATCACAGACTTGTCAAGCGAGAGGACTTAGCAATGCAGAGGAACTAGGTTCTTAAGCTGTGATCTATAGCGCACTTTAAATACATGTTGGTGCACCGGCGTGGGGAGTCACGCCAAGCATCCTATGCGATGCCATCCATAGATGCATATATAGAGGTTGGGTTCAAGTCTCGACCCTCTAGTGCTTGGGTTCGAGTCCCAAATCACTAGGGCGTGGTGATGGTTTGGAATATGAGGACACTCATATTTCGGTGGTCATGGACTCTTAGTGGGGAGACTGGCTTGGGCACACCGCCAAGCAGGGGGATGCTTCGGAGTTATGATGCATGGTTAGATTGCTTAGAGTGAAAACTCGGCATATCTAACTTAAACACTTTGGTGCAAAAGGCATCAAGAACGTGGTGAATGAGATGAGGACACCCAATCTCAGTTGCTATGGATCCTTGGCCGGAAGGGCTGGCTTAGGCACACCGCCAAGTGTGGGGGATGCCCTCAGGGTCATAGTCAACAATTTAAAGGGGTCTGGAAGACCTTAGTGGTAGACTTATTAAGGGGTTAAGATATGGTCACTAGGTGATTGTGTGGCTAACCAAGGACAAGGTCTTTGTTTGGGTTAAAGAATATGATTCCTAGTTCAAAGTGTTGATTTAAACTATTGATAATGGTGTGGCTTGGTCAAGGTGACCAAGTGGGAAGGACACCTAAAGGGAAATCAATTGTGCCAATACGATGGTATAGTAAGTCTAAGAAAGTAGTCTCTAGGAGCGATCCATGGGATGGTCGCAAAGTTGGGCTGTGGACAGAGCCCGTAGCAGAAAATGCTAAAGAGACGTACTAGGGGTGAACACCTTTGAACTTGGCAAAACAAAGTCTTTGCAATTGAACCAAAAGGATACCTCGAGAATGGAGGTAGTGATTCGATATTGCTAGGTGCAACAATCAAGAATAGGAGCAAAAGACTAGTGGCTAAGAAAAGAGCCATGGGAATAATGGGAAAGAATCCGAAAAACAAAGTTAGGCCAAGAACACTAATATGTTGAGTGCTAACAAATTGTGGGAAATGCAATGTGTTTCCAAGGATGGATTCCTAATTGTTCCGATTTGGCGAAAGTGGAAGCTCCAAGGGAGGTAGAGGTAAGGTAGCCAAATGATAGGGCCATAGCCAGCCCTAGCACAAATTATGATAACTGGAACTTAGTGCTTAAGGTGGCACAAAATAGAAAAGAGGATGATGGTGCCCCCAAGTAAGGAACTTCCTAGGATGGGGAAGTGGAGTTGCACAATACGTGCAAAGCAAGGTGTTGGAGACACCTAGGATATTGACTTTGAGAAATCAAAAGTAAAAGTTCCAAAGTACAAAGGTCATATCGATGGAAACTGAGACTACTCAAGATGGAATAGTGGGATTGAGATAGAGACGGTGTCTCTAACAGATTTAACGAAAACTAAATCAATAAAAAGAGAGAACCACCACAAGTGGTTCAATCAGTCTCTAAGTTGAAGAGACTGTCCTCCTTAAAGGATGGGCAAGGCATGGTGAGCCTTCGGTATCAAACCATTGACGAATATTGGCGAGGTGCCAAGAATGGAAAGAGTAATACATGTTAGTGTTACTTTATAAAATAGTTTATTGTTCGATGAGGACATCGAACTTCGTCTATGGGTGGTGGAGTTGTGAGACACAAAATCCCTAGGCCCCAAAGTGGAGCCGAAAGGGTGCCATGAGGTAGTGGCCGAAGCAAAAGTCAAACGAAATGTAACACGCTTGGACCAAAAGCTTCGACTTGAAAGGTCGAGAGCAGGAGTGGAACTCCCAACAAAGTGCTCGAGGAACAAGCACGAAGCGAGCAATAAGCAAGGCTCCAAAAAAGGACCCAAAAGGACTAACATATAACACGTGGAAGTGTCTGAGATGGAGTCCGAGATGGATCCGAGATGGACCTAAGATGGAGTCTGAGATGGACCGAGATGGAGTCCGAGATGGACCTGAGATGGAGTCCGAGATGGAATCCGAGATGGACCCGAGATGGAATCCGAGATGGAGTCCGAGAAGGACCCGAGATGGAGTCTGAAATCGAGATCGAGACCAAGACCGGGACTGAGACCGAGACCAAGGCCGAGCCCGAGACCGAGCCTGAGCTCGAGCCCGAGTCTGAGTCCGAGTCCGAGTCCGAGTCCGAGTCCAAGTTCGAGTCTGAGAGGGTGAAAGCCCAAAGCGTTCGTCTCCCAGACCCTAGGGGGTTTGGTGAGCTCTAAAAGTATAGTAGGGGGAGGACTCTAGTGGAGCCAGTTTGGCCAGGAAAGGCCAATTTGGACCAAGAAGGCTGCACCCAAGTGTTGGGTAATGGGATAACCATTGGGAAGTCCAAGACTAGAGTGAATACGGACTAGCAAGTAGGGTAGCTAGGTGAAGTGTTCAAGAGCTGACTCTAGTTCCCCTGGGAGATTGAATGGTTGATGCTCCCAGTCCAAGTGTGGGTGGCACTACCTACTTGGATACCTAGCATGGCTCAATGGAACCTCACTCTAAGCCCATGGCTAGAGCACCAAAAGGCGGAAGGTGGGGAAAGTACCCATGAAGCTTGCGTAAGGCCACGGTGTTCCGAAATGTGGTCCCAAAGTCCTAAACTGATCAATGATACGGTCATGTGTTGAGGAAGTCCCAGAGGATAGTGGGACTTAGTGGTCAGGCCTAAGGGCCCTGCCTCAGTGGCAGTGTTGGCCAACACGGTCATGGGTAGAAAAGGGACTTGGTGGGGATTACAAAAGGGATATTGGGGAAGGCTGTTCCCCATATTTGCGGGCATCTTAAGGATGCTAAAGAGTGGATCTTGGATGGTCACTCCTGGATAGATGGCCCAGTCCTTGAGAGACAGGACTGCGATGCAGGTGGTGTTGGACCACTGGGCGACTAAGGTGAAGGGGTATGGCCTTAGCGTAACAGGCTAGTATGTTGGTGGTACCTTGGGGTGTCGGTCTTGGCACCGGACACGTGGAGCACTTGGACCAAATGCAACAGTTGAGTGGCACGGATGTCATTCTTAGGGCTAGTAAGTCCCCAAGTCCGGAATAGGACTTATGGAAGTTGTGAATGAAACTCCTCCAAGTGGTCAAAGGTGTGGTTAAATGACTAAAGTAGAATGGAAAATTTAGTCGCTTACATATATGTCACAAGGGTTTGGTGCTTCACTATATAAACTCTTATATGGCCATGATCTAATATTATTGACGGAGTTAAGTTTATCTTCACGATTGCCACGAGCTGCCAATATTAGGTCTTGGGATTAGTATTTGATGAGCATTCTTCCACTTGTCCGAACAAAATTTGTTAAATATTTAAGCCATATATAAGTGGGATAACAATGGCATTATAATTCCCATCATCATCCATTGGGTTACAGTGGCTAAAATACTTCATACAAAGGGATTAAGAATAACTAATACTACCTATAAATCCATTGATACCTTCTCTTAATGTTCCTCCCATCTATGAAAGAACTTTGATAGTCTATCATCATTTTGAGAAGAGGGAATGATGTGAGGTTCAAGTATATAATTACAATGGTTTTTGGGCTAATTAATATGCATATTTTCTATATTCCTTTTCTATATTCCATGCACTCACATTAATTGAATATGCAATATTAGAAGTAGGAGAAAAAGTTTTGGGATCTTGATAAGGAAGGATTCCCAGGGAGGAAGTGGACAATTTTCGGACTGCTGTCCATTGCATCAAACGGAGATCAGGCACTAATTGACATGGTAGGGGACAAGCTGTCGTTCCAGGCCTTGGCTAATGCCACTGGCTTATTACTCATTCCATATGTCACCACCTTTGTCTCTTGCTGCTTCTGTGACCCAATGCAATTTGTGGGGCTCCCCACTCAGCTGCCCTGTGCCAGCCCTGCCCATCACTCACCCACTGCTATTTACTTTGGCCTCAAGCACTACAATGGTGGAATGGTGGAGGGTGTGAGTAGAGAGCAAAGAAATTTAAAGAGTGTATGTGTATGTCCAAGTCCTGCGCCCTGCCTAGGCTATGTGCCTGCCTTGAGAGGCAAAGAGCGAACTCCTTAAATTCATAACTCCTGATACTTTGGTTTTTATATAGTCTACCTTGGAGATAGATGATGCTAGGAACAACACGGCTCCCATCGGGGCTCTCCCAGTCTCCCACGCCTTCTTCCTGCGGAGCCCAGCTCCTGCGATCGGTGTCGAATGTAGGAAGCCTCAGCAAGATGCTCGAGAGAGGGCAGCAGCTCCCGGAAGCTTATCGCTGGAGCTCGAGCGAGACGGCAGCAGCGGAGGATGATCCGGCGGAGCTGGAGGACGAGGTGGTGGTGCCTGTGATCGACCTGGCGGAGCTGGATCGATCCGATGAGAGGCGCAAGGAGATATGCGAGGAGATGAGATCCGCCTGCCGCGAGTGGGGAGCGTTCCAGGTGGTGAATCACGGCGTGCCTGACCAAGTTGTGGAGCGAGCGCGGAGGACGAGCCTCGACTTGTTTGCTCTCCCCGAGTCGGACAAGCTCCGGGCCGAGAGACCACCCGGGACTCTCTTCGGCTACGGCGCCACCAGAATGGCCTCCTTCTTCAACCGGCTAATGTGGTCCGAGGCCTTCACCATGATGGGCTCTCCGCACAACAATTTCGAGGCCTACGCTCGCAAGCTCTGCGTCCACAGCGAGCAAGATTTCTGGTAAGAACAAGGAAGTTAACAAAGAACAGACTTCCATTTCTCTGCTCTTACCTTTCGCGTACCAACAAACGACGACGTCTTTTTCATGCTCTCACGGTTTTTGTCTCTGTCCTTGGCAGCAAGTCGTTTGAAGAGTACGATAAGGCGATGCGCGGCCTGGCCCTGCTCATCACCGACCTCATCCTCCACGGCCTGGAAGCAAGCGAGGAGCGAATTCACCAACATATCCGGAACTTCTGGGGGATGATCCACATGAACTTCTATCCCCCCTGTCCCAGCCCCTCGGAAGCAATGGGTCTCGCGTCCCACACCGATTCCAGCTGCCTCACCATCATGCACCAAGGCAGCGTCGGAGGCTTGCAAGTGAAAAGAGGTGACAAGTGGATCGCCATCAAGCCTGTTCCCGGTGCCTTTGTCATCCAAGTCGGTGACATGCTTCAGGTATCCTGGAATCTCATCCAGTTTTTCCAGCCTCTGACAGTGCTTTGCCTTGCCTTGCCTTTCTACAGTTGATGAGCAACAACGTCTTCCACAGTGCCTTGCACAGAGCTCTCGTTAACGAACGCTTCGAACGTCTCTCGCTGGTTTACTTCTTCACCCCGCCTCCCACGGTTTCCATTTGCCCCATCCATCCCAGCAAACCTCTTTACCGCTGCCTCACTTGGAACGAGTATCTACAAGTAAAAGCCAAGCTTTTCATGGGTGCGCTGGATCACTTCCTGTTACCTGAATAAAGAAAACACACAAGTGTCTCTCATGAGCTCCGTAGACAGTAAAGAAACGACGGCAGCTCACCGGTTGGTTAAAATTTTGATACCCACAATACCAACAAAAAGCACATGTGTACAGATCTCAACTTATGCTCTCTCTTCTCTGGCACGGGCACACATGTTAAAAAAAGGAATCAACGTGCAGTGTCAAATCCCGAAAAAGAAATGAGAAGAAAGGGAGAAAAAAGAAAATGATCACACCTTTTCAACCAGCCTTCCCTCCAAATCTCTGATGCGAGACTCTAAAAGAGCATTTGCAGCGAGGGCAATATCTAGTTTCGTTGCCAGTTCACTCGATGTTCTTGCTGCCTGCATGTTAGAGGCGATGAGAATAACAGGAAACAAAAAAGAAAAAGAAAAATACCTCATCTCGCTCCCCACTGATGACTTGCACCATGGAATTTAAAATCTCCTGTGTCACGAGGAACACGTCAAAAGGCAACACTGGCAAGTATCCAGTACGGAACCTTTTCTTTCTGTAGCGCCTTTGATGCGTCAGACTTCTCTTTGGCAAGCTCAAGAGCGAGTTCTGTTGCTTGTGCTTCTGCCAGGTTGCACATTCGCCAAACCTGAACGTCACGATCAGCTACAAACGAGCGCAACAAACTTTTGTAGTTTCTCACCCGGTCCTGTTCTTGTATTGCTTCACGTAGCCTTTCGTCCGTCTTCTCTTGCTTTTGTATCGCCTCCGTAGCTTCCTTCTTACATTTTTCTGCTGCCTCTTGCAGCTTCAAAAACTGCAAGTAACGACGATAACATTCTCAAGCCGTTTGCAAAAAGAACAAACAATACCTGCTCTTCGGCTACTAGTACTTGAGCTCTTGCTGACTCATTCTCAGCTTTCATGGCAGCCATGGCTTCATCAAGCTTAGCCTTTTCTTCTAAAGTGTCTTGCAATTCAAGCTTTAGCGTCTGGCTGTAGTTTTCAAGTTGAGCAACATGCTCCTCGCCTTTGTCCTTGTGCTCGTATTCCTCGAGTTTGGCTGCACAACTTCCAAGTCGCGTTAGGATCATTCCTTTGGCATAATCAATTAGTGAAAACACACGAACCTTTACAGAGATCGAGTTCCATCTTAAACCTCACAACGTCTGGATGATGCTCTACTTGTTTGCGTAACTGTTCAATCTCTTCTTTCATTTCGGAAGTTCCATCATCACCGTCAGTAGCTGGACGGCCACCCTCAACTCTTTTGATAGCACATTCACGCAACCTCGTTATCATTTTTTGCGACTGCAAACATTTGTTAATGCTATGCAAACTATAGAGCGTTAACCCTTACCTGTAAAGCTGTTTCCAGTCGCTCACAAACCGCTTGTGCAGCCTCGTACTTCGTGGCGAGTTCGTGCAGCTCTAGAGCTGATTTCCTTTCAGCGGCTAGAGACTGCTTTGTAGATTCAGATAATATATGTTCCAAGCGGCTGATTCGCTCGCTTTCTAAAAATCAAACAAAATGATCAATACCAATAAAGAATGAGATGAAAAACAAGGGGATACCTGGGAGTGCCTCTGCCGCCACAGTTGGTATCGAAATCAGCGATGGAGCTCCAATATTTGCTGAACACATTTTACGCAAGCTATATCAGAAACAATACTATACAAGACACAATATAGCTCTACCTCGCAGTGTTGCAATCTCGAGTCTAAGTCTCTTTATTTCCTCGCCCATAATAGCTGGATTACCAAGCATGTCCTCGTTAACAACGGCAGCGTTTCTCATCAACTTCGCTCTTTGAGCAAATTTAAGAGTGGAAAGCGTTTCCTCCCCATTCTTATCGGCTGGACTCACATTCGCTATTAGCGTACACTTCGAATTTCCACCCAAAGCGTCCTGGTCCGCACACGAGTAAAATTCCTAATTCAAACGACTGAACACAAACCTTCAGCAGGAATGTAAGCTTCGAGTCCCGGTAAGGAACGTGCCTTACTTTGCCTTCTGATATGTCCACAAGCGCCTGCAAACAATTGAAACCACTTTTACGTTTTGCTAAACATCTGCTGCTCATGTTTGCTTACCTTTATAACGTTTCCAAGTGCGGACAACGATTTATTTATACTCCCAGCTTCTTTGAGTCGAATCCCAATAGTCTCGCTGTACTTCTGACGCTCAGATCCTGCTAAGTCAACAAGATAAAATCTCGATGTCTTTCTGTTCATCACTCCACCAACAACACGCTACCACAAAGAACACAATGAGCATAAGAGAAACCAAGCTAGCAGTTTAAAGCGTACCTGAGACTCGACCACTAAAGTAAACACGCTATGTGACCTACTGCTTTCAATGTTCATAGCAGTCATCCCGACGTGCCGGTTTTGAGATCCACGCCGAAAAACTCCATAAGTAGCTTCTGCAGATGGCACGACCACTTCCTGGAGACCATCCACATACATTCCATTCTTCGTATCCTCGCGGATATCTGAAAAGCTTTAAGGAACAGCAAGCAAAGAATTGCAAGACAGCAAAAAGGATACTTAAATGAGCGGAGTCGGGATCTAGAAGATCTTGCACTTGCTCGTTATATATCTGCACGAAAGCTGAATAAGGAATGGTGGTGAAGCAGTTTACGAACCTGAAGATACGAGCACTTGATGCCATATTCAACATCCTTCTGCCGCTGAAGAAAAAACAGCACAAGAGTGAAAAAAAAACTGGTCGCCAACGGAATATACAACCTCCTTTTTCTCCTCTCCCATTCTCTGGAACATGTAGTCCAAAATGCGAGGAATCAGGCCACGCATTTCATGCGCTTGAGCCTGATCCTCCGTGACACTGAGACCTGCCCTTGAGCGATGGAAGTTCGGGTGAGAAATCCACTAGCCAAAAACAAAGCAAAAGAAAAGCTCAAAGCTACCTTCCATTGTGAAGGTCTTTCCAGCACCAGTTTGTCCTGAAAAACCATTGCATGTCAAAGCTATACATGAATCCGAGACTTTTAGACCAAACTCCTACCGTAAGCAATGAGACAGCAATGGTATCCTTGCAAGCAAGCATCCGTGATGGGCTTCCCCACTCTTTGGAAAATATCTTCCTGTAGAAGGGATTTACAGTGTGAGCTGAATCACTAGAGAAAAATCAATCACAAACCTGGCCAACGTCCTCATCGGCAACATAATCAAACTTGAAGGATCTGGCAAATGGCGTGACACTGAGAGTGAGCGTCTGAGCTGCGGCATCGACGGCAGCAGCCTTCTTGTAGCCCTGCTCGTGCTCCCGCTGATTCGGCGGCCTCACCCGGACAACCACCTGGACATTGGAATTCGTGGGCTGATCCGCGGCGGAGAAGGCATCGCCATCGCCATCGATCTCGATGCCGCCGTTGGAGGCCGGCATTGCCCCTGCCCTCCTCACCTCAAGAACCCTAGCCTAGCAGCGCTACTACACGAAAACGTAGAAGGCGCGAATGAGCGCATTTTAGGTCAGCCGATTCATTTGCCGCGCTTTTTCTAAAGTTCGATCGAATTGGACGGCTGGGATTCGATGGCGGAAGCGCGATTCGAACTCTAAGCTCTTGAGTTAGAAGAACCTTAGGAATTCAATATGATTCCGGATATGCAAATCCACTAGGAGCCCGTGTGTCGATCGGTGCGTAGGACAACTCAGATCCACCAAAATTATATAAAAAAGAGACTCCACCCCTGAATTCTCCAAGTAGAGAGATGGTTCCAGCGATGGTTGTATCAAGCAACAATGGCGATGGTGGCAAGCGTCCCCCACACTTGGTCTTCGTCCCATACAAAGACAAAGGCCACACTGCACCATCAATTATCCTCGCCAACAACCTCGCCATTCTTCACGGTATTTCCATCACTGTGATCTTCGCGTCCGCGAAAGAATTGGAATCCTGGCCATCGCCGGCGAGTCCCCACATCCAATTCATGGCTCTCGACACGCAGGGAGGAACAAGAAGTAAGTCCGAGGCTCTCACTGCCACGCTGGACGAGCTCAAGCGCTCGGCCTCGCCACCCGTCGCAATTCTAGTGGATATCATAGTGATGTGGAGTGCTGACGCGATCCGACATAGCAATCTCCCCAAGTTCGTGCTCTACACTGCTAGCTGCTCGTATTTGTCCGTCATGCTGGGGATTAAGGCACCTCTGCCCGAACCGTGGATCGATGAGTCCCGGGCCGCGTTCCAGTTGGGACTCGACGATCCCGAGATGCCGGATATCGAATCTCACGATTGGAATGACGACAGCGGGGAGGCGCAGGCCGTGCTGGTGAATTCGTGCGAAGAGCTCGAGCAGGAAGCTATGGCCGAGCTGATCAGAGCCCAGCCTCGGATCCCGCCAGTTCTTCCCGTCGGCCCCTTGCTAGCGATCGATGTCAATCCCAAGGCAGTGGGGCAAGAATCATCGCCACCCAATGCCGATGCGTGCAAGCAGTGGCTGGACGAGCAGCAGCCCTCGTCAGTGATCTTCATCTCGTTTGGCAGCAGGACGTTTCTGGCAGAGGAGCAAATCCACGAACTCGCGGCTGGATTGGAAGCCAGCAAGCGGCCATTCCTGTGGGTTCTTCCAGTCCCGCCAACCTGGGCCGATGGTTCGACCAAGGACTACCTGGATCATGTTCTTCCCGACGGATTCCTGGCGAGAAATCAAGCCGGGCTCATCTTGTCCGGATGGGCGCCTCAGAAGATGATCCTCCAGCACAGCTCCCTGCTAGCATTCGTGACGCACTGCGGCTGGAATTCCGTGCTCGAGTGCCTCTACCTGGGCGCCAAGCGGATGCTATGCTGGCCGTTCGGCACGGACCAGACCCAGAACGCTCGATTCATCGAGGAGGAGCTCAAGGCCGGGGTGGAGCTGGAGAAAGATCCCAGTGGAATCGTGCACAGCAGCGAGATCCAAACCAAGATCGAGGAGGTGGCGACGCTGGAGGCCAGGAACTCCTCTGGCAATGCTGCTACTGCTACAGAGCTCGTGAGAAACGCGAAGAGCTCCTCCATAAACCTCCAAGCATTTGCAGGTAGAGTGCGGGCCTACGTTTGACGTGACATTGGCGTGGCTAGGCGATCTGAAATCTTGGGCTAGGGTTTGTACAAGATCACAAGATGTTTGTAAAGGTCTGGCCTTGTTATTGTATAAGATGAGCTTGCTGATTGTGTTGTCCAAAGATTTAGATCATGAGCTGTTTTGGAAACTTTCAGACACGTCAAGGTCACCAGCATTTAAAAATCCAACCTGGATAAATGCTTCTTTTGTAGTTGTCGTTGTTGTTTTGTTCGTAGGCCCATAGGCTGTTTTTTGTGGTGGTGGATATGTTCGCTCTCGAGTAGATCAGAGGCTTGCTGAAATCTGGAAACTCTTGCCGAAAACCTAATGCACTGACTGCTGAAATTTGGGGAGTCTCAACGTCGCTCTAGCGCCCCAACACTCCATACTCACCTTTTTATAACTGGTCTGTGGCAGAATTTTCCTGGTTTGGTAGGGTGACGGCAGGCAAGGATATCGTTGTGGTGGCTTCTCTCTCCCAAAACCACAAGAATATGGTGAGTATTGTATTGTATTATGAGTTAGAATTGTGCATGGCTGGTTCAAATCGGTGGGACAGAGGGATGAACCTCAGCAAATCGTAACAGCAAGATGCTTGATAATAATACTTGTCATTGCTCCTTTGTTACTCCAGTTTTGTCCCATCGTCTGGCATGGGATCAAATGTTGTCAATTGTTTGAGATTTCCTTGATGCGACTGTGAATAAACTTGCATTCACCAACCTCATGCTTCAAGATAGGTGTTCCTCGCTCCTTTGCCCCGTTCAAACACAAAGCCATGTCACTTGCTGGTTATAGCGGTAAACGTGACAATGGCGTAATCAAAGAAGCAAGCTCGTCTCTCTTCTTTCGACAAGTCAAGCTGCAACACAGTTCTCCCAAGTTGAAAACGAACGAGGCGCATTTAGGTGACCCGATTCATTCGCAAAGTGGACGGCGCGTTCTTTGGAGCTCGAAGCTTCTAGGAAAAACGTATGAATCCAATAAGATTCATACATACAAAGTCATACGTGTCAAAGAGCCCACATCTATACGTGTCAAACGATGCCTAGAACAACTCACAACCAAAAACATACAAAAGAGACTCAAAACCCATGGAGATTTCCAAGTAGAGAGATGGCTCCAATGGTAGTATCAAGCAACAACGGCGATAACGGTAAGAGGTCGCATCCCCCACACTTGGTGTTCCTCCCGTTCAAAGACAAAGGCCACATTGCGCCGTCAATGATCCTCGCCAACAAGCTCGCCATTCTTCACGGCATTTCCATCACTATGATCTTTGTGTCCGAGAAAGAATTGGAATCCTCGCCATCGCCGGCGAGCCCCCAGATCAAATTCGTGGTGCTCGACACGCAGGGAGGAACAAGGAGTAAGTCCGAGGCTCTCACCGCAAAACTGGACGAGCTCAAGCGTTCGGCCTCGCCACCCATCGCAATTCTGGTGGATATCATAGTGATGTGGAGTGTTGACGCGATCGAACGTAGCAAGCTCCCCAAGTTCTCGCTCTACACTGCTAGCTGCTCGTATTTGTCCGTCATGCTGGGGATTAGAGCTGAGCTGCCGGAACCCCAGATCGATGAGTCCCGGGCGGGGTTCCAGCCAAGGATCGACGATCCCGAGATGCCGGATTTTGGATCCCACGATTGGAAACGCGACCTCGGGGAAGTGCAGGGAGTGCTTGTGAATTCGTGCGAAGAGCTCGAGCGCCAAGCCATGGAGGAGCTGATTAGAGCCCGGCCCCGCATCCCGCCAGTTCTTCCCGTCGGCCCCTTGCTAGCGATCGATGCCGATTCGCCCAATCCCAAGGCAGTGGGGCATGAACCATCGCCACCCAATGCCGAGGCGTGCAAGCAGTGGCTGGACGAGCAGGAGCCCTCGTCGGTGATCTTCGTCTCGTTTGGCAGCAGGACGTTTCTGGGCGAGGAGCAAATCCGCGAGCTCGCGACTGGATTGGAAGCCAGCAAGCGGCCATTCCTGTGGGTTCTTCCAGTCCCTCCACACTGGGCCGATGGCACCAAGGAATACCTGGATCATGTTCTTCCCGATGGATTCCTGGCGAGAAATCAAGGCGGGCTCATCCTGTCTGGATGGGCGCCTCAGAAGATGATCCTCCAGCACAGCTCCCTGCTAGCATTCGTGACGCACTGCGGCTGGAATTCCGTGCTCGAGTGCCTCTACCTGGGCGCCAAGCCGATGCTATGCTGGCCGTTCGGCGCGGACCAGCCCGAGAACGCTCGATTCATCGAGGAGGAGATCAAGGCCGGGGTGGAGCTGGAGAAAGATTGCGGTGGAATCGTGCGCAGTGGCGAGATCCAAACCAAGATCGACGAGGTGGCGAGGCTGGAGGCCAGGAACTCCTGTGGCAATGCGGCTACCCTAAAAGAGTACGTGAGGAATGCGCCGAGCTCCGCCAAAAACCTCCAAGCATTTGCAGAGGCTCTATCACAAATGTAAGATTGTTAGATTGTTATTCCATAAGCTGTTTATAATAGTGTTTGTAGATAAACTTACAGATCGATTTACTGAGCTCTTTGATCCGCTGATTTGTCCTCGCTTTCTCTTGTCTTTGGACACTGTTTCTTGTTCTGAATTTCTTGCTCGATGGTATCGATGATATTGCTTGTAAACTGTAAGTTGCATAGCTCCTTTGCCAAGGTTGGCTATGTTGATGTTGTGGTTCAAATCTTCTTCATAGCTGGGGCAAAAGTGGATCTATGGTGCAGGGAGTCAGATCGTAGATCGTGTAAATTTTGGAAAGGGACTTTCTCCACAGCGCTGACCTCGATCACTCCCATTGCTGCGCGTGCCACCAACGTGAGCAGGCTATGTGTTGTGATCCTGTGATGGTTACATCTGCCAGCTTCTGTGAAGTCAAGGATACATATTACACGGTATTGCAACCTATGTATTCATGCGCGTCAGGGAGCCCAGATCTTCCCGTGTCAATCGGTGCCAGAACAGCTCAGATCAAGACATAAACCTAATTAGAGAGATGGCAACAGTGGCGATGGCGGGTTGCATCCCCGACACTAAGTGTTCGTCCCCTACAGAAACAAGGGCCACATTGCACCGCAACTATCCTCGCCAACACGCTCGCCATTCTTCACGGTGTTTCCATCACTATGATCTTCTCGTCCAAGAAAGAATTGCAGTCGCTGCCATCGCCGGCGAGCCCCCAGATCCGATTCGACATGCAGGGAGGCTCTCACTGCCACGCTGGACGGGCAATTTGAGTGGACATCACGGTGATGATGTGGAGTGCTGACGCGATCCGACGTAGCAAGCTCCCAAAGTTCGTGTTCCACGCTGCTAGCCTCACTGCTAGCTGCTCGTATTTGTCCGTCATGCTGGGGATTAAGGCACCTCTGGCGGAACCCTGGATCGATGAGTCCCGGGCGGCGTTCCAGCCAGAGGTGGCTTCCCGCAACTGGAATCGCGTCATCGGCCGTGCTGGTGAATTCCTGCGAAGAGCTCGAGCGTGTAGCCATGGCGGAGCTGATTAGAGCCGGATCCTGCCAGTTTTTCCCATCGGCCCTCTGCTAGCGATCGATGGTGAATCGTACCAAGGCAGTGGGGAAAGAAGCATCGGCGCCCAATGACGATATGATCTTCATCTCGTTTGGCAGCAGGACGTTCTTGGCCGAGGAGCAAGTCCGCGAGCTCGCGGCTGGATTGGAAGCGACCAAGCGTCCATTCCTGTGGATTCTTCCAGTCCCTCCACAATGCCACGATGGCTCGACCAAGGACTACCTGGATCGTGTTCTTCCCGAGGGATTCCGGGCGAGAAATCAATCCCCGGTCCGGGTGGGCGCCCCAGAGGATGATCCTCCAGCACACTGGAATTCCATCCTCGAGTGCCTCTTCCTGGGCCCCAAGCCGATGCTGGCGCTCGATTCATCGTGGAGGGGGTGGAGGTAAAGAAAGATCCCAGCAGTGGAATCGTGCGCAGCGGCGAGATCCAAGCCAAGATCGAGGAAGTAGCGACACTTATAATTCAATATAATGAGTCGGTGGTGGAGTGGGAATAAAGATCGCGAATAAGATATAAGATCGATATAGATATTATGAGATCGTTAACTACATTATAAGATCGCGGATTACCAAAACATGGATCTTTCTAAACAAACCCAGGCATTTCTGGCAGGGGTGGCACTCCACCTGGAAAGTGGGACTCGTCTTCGCTTGAGCTACCAGCCCCAGGAACTTGGCCACTTCCATAGCCATAGCCAGTACTCCCAGAGCCCGAGCTGGATCCATAGCCATAGCCGGAGCCACTGCCTCCGCCAGGGCCACCACCGTATCCAGAGCCATAGCCGCTCGCACTACCATCGCCACTGTAACTTCCACTGCTGGAACCGTAAGAAGAGCCGTCTGGAGTGTGGCCGTGGGAGCCGTGGTGATGAGAGTTCTTCCTCGGACGAGGTGCTGGAACGAAACCTCCAGCTGGAAATCCAGTTCGAGCTTGAGCTTCGTCTTCCCATTCCAGCTGCTTACGGCACTCTATCCCTTCCAAAACCACCAGCACAAGGAGAGCCACCGCCACTGTCTTCATTGCCACTGTCTTCATTTCAGCCTGCTGGAGATGAAGCAGAGAAGGAACTATATATACTTCCTCCTGTCCCTAAGTGGAGATCCAAGTTGCCTTTAAACTAGTTGCCGACTTCTTATCTAAAATAGTGAAACGAGCACTTACACTTGGGACGTCTTGTCAAGACGTCTACCTCAGAGGAGCTCTAGAGTGTTGTTGGCCACCGCCTGGCAGAGTTCTTCCTCCGTGAATAGCACTCGGTGGGATGTGATTGCTCTAGGCGCGGGCCTGGGTTCCTCGATGCCATGTTCGTAATCGCCCGGAAAGAGATTAGCAGCCACTTGTTTCAAGTCTCCCAAGGCTATTCTAGCTTGAGGGGGCCTCGGTGCATGTCTTGGAGCCATCGGGGTGGTCGGTTGATCGCTAGTGCGACTGATAAAGAAAAAGAAAAAGAAAAAGGTGTTGGACGGAAAGAAAGATGGACGGAAAGAGTAATCGAGAGTACCTTGCAAATGGCCAACGTTCATTGGGTCTAGGAGTCATCAGCTCGAGCTCCACTTGACGCTCACGATTCGGTGTCCTGAAATCGAAATGGGACTGCTGGGCTATAAGGACCTGCCACAAGATTCCGAGATAAGCAGCGATAGGAGAAACCAGCATTTTCATACCGCTTGTCTGAATCGTCTGCAAACGTGGAAAGCAGGCTTGAGTTGATCATGGTGTAGACTGCAGACGATGCGAACCTAGCATAAAAAAGAGAGAGAGAGAGAGAAGAAAAAAACGTAGTCCAGTCAGTTTCATCTCCGGCATGGGCAATGATGGATGGCTTACCAAAAGCTCCAGAGGAAGACGGTCAAAAGGCGATTCCTTCCGACGATCATTAGGGTAGAGCTGCCCCAATGGCGTCATTGGGGTTCTTGGCGCAAAACCCTCACTCCCCGCCAGCAAAAGCCCCTCTTTTCTGGTACGGGGCACGGATTTTGAGATGGCATAGCGGCACTTGACCTTGCCCTTGCGTCTCGGCCTGGAAATCTCTGTGGCGGCTTCCTGATAGTGGAACTTGGAGACATTGAGATTCATGACCGAGGACGATCGGCGATCCCTTGCTTGACACTGGCGGCACCGATAATACCCGGCAGACTGCTCGAACGATTGCCTCTGCTCATCGCGCGCATACCTCTCGTGCCGCCGGCACACACACCGCCTGTGAACAATGCTCATTCGCCGCCTACTAAGAACCCTAGGTGAAGAGCGGGAAACTTTGAAATTACTAGGGCGGCGCCGAGAATATGCTAAATATCGGATCTGCGAATGTACGTTTGGGCGGGAAAGTTTGAATTGTCTAGGTTAGCTCTGCCACGTCACAAGAAAAGAATATGTCGCAAACATTCTCTTTTCCTAGAATATACCGTTTCCTGAAGACCTAATTTCGGAGCTTCAATGTCGCGAAGACGAAGGGGTGGAGCGCAGAGCAGCGGCCGCAGCAGCAGGAAGAGCAAGAGCCATTGCTCGAATCGATCGCATTTTGTGGAGGCCGGATTTCTGAGTGATTGGAAGCCAAAGGGTAAGTCGTCGCGGCATTCTAGCTCAATCCTATCTGTTAGCGCTTGTAGAGGGACGCGGGAAGCATAGGGGCACCCGTAAGGATCTCGATCACGAATTTCTGGTCGTAGAGGACGAATACAAGAGTAAGTGCCTCACGATCATTGTGAAATTTTTTTGCTTAACGAAAAATGTGGCTCGCAGGAAGACCAAGCAGAGATGGTTCGTTTCCAATTCCGAGCGAAGCACAGGTTGGTTGAGTCTTGTTGCGTATGAACTTTGGCTGGAAAACGATTATTGCTACTCAGATAATTCTCGCTGCTCTTCCCACCCGAGCAGCCGTTTTCGAGGACAAGGGATCATCCATGGACATACCAAGCTGCTCTAGACGATCAACAAAGACAAAGACTCCAAGATCAAACAAAGCCAAAAATCACACCAAGTATGAGAAGAAGCCGAGTTCCAGCTCATCCTCGGACAGTGAAGACGATTGTTCCTCGAGTGTGGATTCGGACCTCGCTGAGGACTACGCAGGAAATCTTGGAAACGAGGTCTCACTGGAGGAGCTCTCCACGGAAATGGCAATGAGAGCCATGGCAATGAAAGTGGCTCTCGAGAGTGGTGACGAGATTGACGAGGAGTTTTTTCTCTCGGATTCCGACGATGACGAGAGCGCAGATGGCGATGATGGCTCCAGCAGCAGCGAATCGGTTGTCCATGCGGGGCTTGGATACAAGTCCGGCGATAGTAGCTCCGAGGACGATGACGACGTGGAAGCCGTATTTTCCAGACAGGAAGCCCGTTTGAAATGTCTCGATCTGAGCGACAACGAAGAACTCATCGGAGTCATTGAGCCATCTTTCATTCTAGACAAAGGACGTATAGAAAGAAAGAGGCTGGACACGGCTCGCTGGCAAAAAGGAGTACCTGGTAAGAGTTTCTTTTCATGACGATGTTTGAATCGTGTTTGATTGATTCCAGGAGAGAGGAAGAAATACAAAAAGGAATTAATCGCCCGCAAACGCAGAGAGAGAGCATTGCACCGGGGTGTTGATCTCGAGAGCATGAACGTGGTACGTATGAAGGCTGTGATTCATTTGTTGAGGTGAGAATTGTTAGCTTTTTCACAGATGTTTGAGAGCATGGTACTCAGCGAATGCGATATGCTTGCTCTTCAACCAATGAAGCATAGGGACCTGACTCTGGTAATTAGACCACCTTCGCTGAAAATTGGATCGTAACTTATTTGTCTTTCACAGGTGAATAAGCTTGCTGCTGTATACCGTCTGAAAGTCGGGGCTCATGGATCTGGGAAAAAACGGTGAATCAGTCGGGCTTTTTCTGTGCTCGGATTGTTTTTTACGTATCTGTTACAGATTTCCGACTGTGACACGAACCAGGCACACGGCTCTACCGCAAGGACTGGATATTCAGCAAATGTTAAAGGTCTAGCTTCCATTTTTTTCCATCTCTTATGATCTTTCTTTCTACCAGCTTCTGGGGCGTGAAAAAGAACTCGACGACTCGCCACCGAAAGCCAAGAAGGGTGAAGCTGGAAGGCTGGCTGCCAAGTACAAGAGAGCTGCTCGGCACGCTCGGGCGAGCATGGCACGAGAGAACGAAAAGCTTGAGCAGCATGGCAAGAGAAACAAGAAGCCGCTGAAGAAGAGAAAAGATGGCGAGCGATCATCTTCGATCCAGCAGCAGCCGCCAAGTTTCGTCTCGAGCGGTGTGCTCCAACCGGGTGACAATCCAGAAACTCCGGTGGTGCTTTTCTCCGAGACGAGCGTCACTGTGAGGAGCAAAGAGAGCGTCGACAAAGCTCCACTCGGGAGCTTCGAAGCTCACACCAAAGGCTTTGGCTCGCGAATGCTGGCGAAGATGGGATTTGTGGAAGGGAGTGGACTGGGAAGAGATGGACAGGGAATGACGCAGCCTCTTCTCCCTCGATCTCGCCCAAAATCGCTGGGACTTGGCGCTTGAGCGATCAATCGATCGATCGATAGAGTACTGAAAATCTATGGCTGACTTACTGTTTAAATTAAGCGCCTGTTCCACGCTTACGTTTTCTGGCTAGGGCGTTCGTGACGCAAGAAATTCGTGGCGATGGCGCAGGCCAGCGCCGCCCCGGCGCTGGAGCTGGATTTCGGCTCGGCGCTGCCGAAATACGCAGGCATTGAGGAGGCGGCATCGAGCAGCGGCAGCTTTTGCGTGGATTTGGAGCTGGATCGGCAGCAGCAGCGCCAGTGCCGGATCTGTCTCGAGTGTGGAGGTGAGAATGTGTGGGAATTTCTTGAATGGAGGATTATCGGATGCTTGTTTCGTCCAGGGAGTGACTTGATCGCGCCGTGTCAATGCAAAGGGACGCAGAAGTTCGTGCACAGATCGTGTCTGGACAATTGGAGGGCGGTCAAGGTACTCTGCTGCGCAAGAAAGCGGCATCTCTGTCTGTAAGTAGCGGTGGAAGAGATGATGGCCTGATGGATGGAATGGTTTTCGTTTTTGTTCTTCTTTCCTGTTTCTACTAGGAAGGATTTGCTTTCTCGCATTGTACCGAGTGCCGGAGTGTGTTCCAGATGAGAGTCAACAGGCCGCCGGATCGATGGTGGCTCCGGCTCAAGTTCCAGCTGCTTGTCTGTCGAGACCACACTGTAATTTTCGTGCTCGTCCAAGTGGTAAGTAAGATCTTATCCTCTTTGTTCTTGGAGCACTCACAGCGTTTTGATGCTTCACTTCCAGGTTGTGATCTTGCTGGGCGCGCTTGTGTATGCCATCTACGGGGAGGAACTCAAAGAGATGTTTGGCTACGACGAGCAGCACGCGTATGGTTTCTACGCACTCGCTGGTAAGTCATTCCACTATTCTCGCTGCGTTTTTCAATCGAATTCTCGCAGTGCTGGTGCTCATCTTGGTCGGGCTTCTCTACGGGTTCTTCATAGCCATCATCTGTGGGCGGAAGATCACCAACAGGCACTACCACGTCCTAGAAAAGCAAGACCTCACCAAGGTAAGCAAAGCAAGCACATCTTTCGATATAGTCAGTGACAAATGCGAGTTTTGCCTACAAGGAGTACATTGTGGAAGGATTAGACGACGATGAAGAAGAAGAAGAACAAGAACAAGAACAAGAAACGTCACTAGCGCCATCGCCAGTGGCCGAGTGACGGGACGAACTTAAATTTGGGGGGCTGGCTGAAAGGTAAGATTAAAATAAGCCCGTCAACGTTTTTAGGGTTCGTGGTAGCTTGTAAGAAGTGGCAAAGAAGCTAGGGTGAGCGCGCAACGACGCAAGACGATCGCGACGCCGGCATGTCAGGGGGCGGCTCCGGCGACGAGTTTCGCTGTTTCGTGGGCGGTCTCTCGTGGTCCACCGACGATCAAGCGCTGGAGAGCAGCTTCCGGCAGTTTGGAAGGATCTTGGAGGCCAAGGTACTCGCTTCTTCTTGGTTTCTTTTGCGCGGTCCCGAGAGAGCCATGACAAGACGATGGATCCATCACTGTGGTGTGTGTTCTTGGCAGGTGATCATCGACCGGGGATCGGGGCGATCGCGCGGGTTTGGCTTTGTCACCTTCGCGGACCAGCGCGCAATGGACGAGGCGATCGACCGGCTCCACAACAAAGAGCTCGACGGCCGCGTGGTGACGGTGAACAAGGCACTGCCCAAGAGCGACACCGGCGGCGGCATGGGGTTTGGCGACCGCGACCGCGACAGGGACCGCGACAGGGACCGTGACCGCGACTTCGACCGTGGTGCCGGCGACCGTTACCGCGACCGGGAATATGCCGCTCCTTACAGTAATGGCTACGCCGGGAGAGGCGACAACAATGGTAACGACAGTTGCTTCCGGTGTGGGCGGCAGGGTCACTGGGCCAGGGAATGTCCGGTCTCTTCCCGCGACCGCTATGGCGGCGGCGGCAGCGGCGGTGGTATTGGCAGGGATGTCGGCTTTGGCGGCCGCTATGGTGACCGAGGCGGCGGTGGTGAATACTTTGGAGACCGCTACGAGCCGCGCTACAGCAGTGACGAGTATGGAAGAGAGCGGAGGTATGAAGGTGGCGGCGGAGGGATCCGGGACCGTGAGCGGAGCAGTGGCGGAGCTATGAGGTACGATGGTGGCTATAGAGATCGTCCGGGGCCGTATGACCGGGCACCGCACTTTGATCGCTCGGCTCCCCCGGCGTACGATAGGCCGCGGCTGCGTGGCGCTGCTAGATCTTCTTACGATCGCTACTGATGATGTACTGCGATGGGGGACAAGTCTTTGGGACGAACTTCCTCCTCGTTTGGTTTCTTCTTTCCAGTTTTCTCGCAAAAAGATTACTACTACTACGTCGTTTGAGCACTCACTAGAGCTGGAAAGGTGTCACGTCTATGCCCCTGAGAGGGAGAAAGCACACTGTCACTGCTTTGAAACTTTGCTCCAGGAACTGTACCTCTGAGACGCTTGCTCGTGCAAGCTTTCGATCTCGGCCTCGAGCTCCGTGCAAGCCGCATCGATGTCGATGTTCTTTTGGCAGATCTCCACCCATTGTGATCTCAGATGAGTGAGAACAGTCGCGGCCGCTTGCTGGAGAAAGAAACTCTTGGGTCAGTCACGGCACTTGCATTGTAAGTTGGCAGACCTGATTCAGCTTGCGATCGCGATTCAGTGATTCGATCTGTTGAGAGAATGCCCGTGCTATCGACTGCAGCCTGGCAAGCAGCAAACAAGAAATGTGAAAAACCAAACGAGGAGGGAGTCGGACTTTACTTGGAGAAGTAAGCTTCCAAGCGCTGGTTGTGAGCACGCCAGGTATTTCCACTGTACTGGAGCAAAAGCTCCAAGTTTTCAATCCTGGAAGAGAGGAATCAAGAGCTACTTCGACAAAAACGAGAGAGTTCTTACACTACCTCATGGTTTGATACTCGAGCTGGACTTTGGCCTTGCGGAGGTAGTCGTTCCATTCGTAGAGATCGTTCCGCTTGCCAACGGGAGGAGCTTGGACGCCATAGCGTGACAAATCCAGGGCCAGCGGCGGCCTTCCTGCTCGGAGACGCTCCAATGCCTTGGCGACCAGAGGCCCTTCCTGACCAGAATCAAACAGAGAGAGCGAGTGTAAGAAATGCGTGGAGAAATGCGAGATTATTTCTTGCCTGGAGGAGATTGGAGCTCGGCAATGGCGGCAAATCCTGCAAGAAATCCACGGGGCGCTTGCTGCTCCGGCTCATCTCCTCGTCTATCAGGCGCTCCACCTCCCGCTTGAGCTGCGGATCCGCGTACTCGTGGTCGACGTAGGGAAGCGCATCCACCACGGTGTTGTCGGACGATCGCCACCGGGCTCCATCGCTCATCATCATCTTCCCTCCCTCGTTAGATGAGAACCCTAAATCTTCCTCTCTTTAACCCTAGCCAAGAAGAGCAAGACGACCGCGCGCCTGGACGAAATGGTGAGTGGATTTTCGCTTGGATCCGTGCTGAGACATCGATCGCCGTGTTGGATGCGCAGATTAGATTCATCCTCTTGCAAAATCGCCAGGGGAAGACTCGTCTCGCCAAGTACTATGTCCCGCTCGAAGACTCCGAGAAGCAAAAGCTCCAGTATGAGGTAAATCGCTCCCAGATTCGAGTGTTGGAGTGGAATTTCTGGCATCGCAGGTGCACAGGCTCGTCGTCAATCGCGATCCAAAGTTCACGAATTTCGTAGAGGTTGGTCTCTTTGGTTTGCTTCTTTTCTTTGGTTTACACGGAATTTTTGTTTGTTCTCTCTTCCAGTTTCGCACACACAAGGTGATCTATCGACGCTACGCCGGGCTCTTCTTCTCAATGTGTGTGGATATCACGGATAACGAGCTGGCCTACCTCGAGAGCATCTACCTCTTTGTGGAGATCCTAGACCACTTCTTCAGCAACGTTTGCGAGCTAGATCTGGTTTTCAACTTCCACAAGGCCAGTTTCTTTCCTTGCTTTTTTATTCTCCCGGTCTGGTGTTGCAAGCACTCAGCGCCTGCCGGTTTCGTTTACAGGTTTACTTGATCCTCGACGAGTTCATTCTTGCTGGCGAGTTACAAGAAACCAGCAAAAAGGTATGCCGTCGTATGTTCTCGTCTTTGTTCCTTGGATTCATGAGTTTGTTGCAGGCAATAATCGAGCGGATGGCAGAACTAGAGCGGCAGGAGTGACCATCATCTCAAAAGACAATAGGCAGCCTCCGGGCTCGCACAAAGGCATCGAGTTTATCCCAAAACTCGAGAACTGCCGTGCGGTCCTGGTGCCTCTTGTGCTTGCTCAGCTGTTTAGCAAACAAAGAAGAGTAAGAGGGCATTCGTTTTTCTCGCGATTCTTTTTATCTTCATTTACCGAGATGATCTTGACATTCCATTGCATCACGACTTTAACCGATTCCATGCTGTCGTCCTCGAATCTCAGGTACACTCCCAAGACTGCCACAAACAGGTTTTCAGCTGCGAAGTTGCGAACAACGAAAGCACGGCACTTACTCTTGTTGAAGATCTCGACGTGGTCCTTGAACGGCCAGTCCTTGAATTGCCACTCCTTGCCGAGAACGAAGACAGCAACGACTCGTTCCCAGTCCTTGGAGGAGAGAGCCGACGGCCTGTCTCTCACCTCGTACTTGACTGGGATCTCCCGGCCGATCTTCCGGTAGATGGGAAGCGTCTCGGGCTTCTTGGCAGCGGCGGACTTTTTGGCATCGGCCAGGACGTAGACACCATCTTCCAGGAACTCCTTGGCGTTGAAGGTGTTGAGCAGCGTCTGCGAGGCATTTGGAACGAGGATGATAGGTGGTCCTTCGATCTTGGCCTTGCTCGACGATCTCGCCAGAGTTTGCTGGGAAGATGGTGGTGGTGGCGGGGGTCGCTTCTCCATGGAAGGAGCAGCGGCAGACTTGAGATCCGGCTCCACTTTGACGAACTTGTCCGTGGAAGAAGATGGTGGCTCTCTCCTCTGCGAGTTCTGGGATTGCTGCTGGGACTGCTGCTGGGACTGCTGCTCGATGCGCTCCCGGCGTCCCAAGGTGGAGAGGATCCCCTCGAAGCTCTTGTTGGGACAGAGGAGGATGGTCTCGCGATCACGCACGGGACGCTCCAGGCTCCTCACCAGCTCGATGAGGAGGCAGGCATCCACAGGCTGGTCTTGGTCGCTCCGGGGCCGCTTGCTCGGGTGGAGAGCCCCGGCCTCGTCAGCGGCGGCGAGATCGCCCGGGGAGAGCTTGTCCAGCGACGCCGCCGACGAGGCGACCGGCGGCAAGAGCTCGATGGCATCGCTGGTGGAGACCTTGCCTTCGAGGTAGTCGAGCAGCGGCTTCTTGTCGGTGTAGGTGACGATCTGGAGCTTGAGAGCTCGCGCCTGCTGCATGTACTCGGTGTGCTTGAGGTTGCTGCTCTTGACGAAGAAGACGAGCGAGTCGAGCGTGTAGAAGAAGCCGAGCTTGGAGCGGTAGCCCGTCTCGGTGCTGCACGGGAACCTGTAGTCATTGCCGAAGCGGAACTCGTCGCCCACGCGGTGGACATTGCCCAGCTCCTTGCGCGCCGTGTAGTCGCGGAGAACGCTTAGGGCATCCATCCTGCGCCTGGGCTGGGCAACAAAGGCCCTAGCTTTATACCTAGGGTTTAACCAAGAATAATCTTTACACAGCATATTCTGTTAGGTTAATGCGCAATTTCTGCCTATACTAAGAATATCTGCTTTTGATTAGCATATTCTGCTTACATGGCGTACGTATCCTTGGCATTTAGCTATTTCGCCCTGGAGCTCGAGCTATGGCGGAGGTGACTCTCCTCTCACTGCCGGCGAGTCCGTTTGCTATGAGCGTGAAGATGGCGCTGATCGAGAAGGGGGTGGAGTTTGAGACGGTGGAGGAGAACTACCGGGCGAGCGGCAAGAGTGAATTGCTCGTCAGGGTGAATCCCGTGACCAAACAGGTGCCCGTTCTCCTCCACCGCGCCAAGCCCATCTGGGAGTCGCTCGTCATTCTCGAGTACGTCGAGGAGACTTGGAAGACGCAGGGCACTCACCTCCTCCCTGGCGATGGCTACCAGCGGGCGTTGGCTCGCTTCTGGACGAACTTCGTCATCACCAAAGTAAGCTTTCTTAAGTTTTGATTAGCTTCTTCCAGATCATCCAACATCGTCTTGGCCAGTTTTGGGAGACTGGATTGCTGATCATGAAGCGAGTCGGAGACGAGCAGCTGAAAGCTCGAGATCAAGTGCTGGAGATGATCCGTTTGATGGACAGCGAATGGAGCAAGCCCGAGTATGGGAAGCCGTTTGTGTTTGGCGACAAGCTGAGCTTAGCGGACTTGGCCTTGGCTCCCATTGCGTCGTGGAAGGTCACCTTCGAAACGCTCGGGAAGTTCGAGTTCCCGGACGCTCGGACTTGTCCTCGGATGGCTCTCTGGCTGGATGCAATCGAGAATCATCCCACGGTGCAGTCGGCGATTTTAGCACCGGATCTGAACCTGGAAAACGCAAACGTCATTCAGAAACTCATCAAGGATAACAAGATCAAATTCTAAATAGGTTCTTTAGTACTTGATCAAGTACTTGAATAAATTGCCATCTTTGAGAACCTTACACATAAAAACACGTCGTTTCAACAGAGATATAGACTAAGCAACTTGCTGGAAACTTGGTGCTTCGAGCTGTGGGGAGGAACCAAGCTTCTCTTCACAGTCCCAAACAATGCAGTGAGGACGATTCACATAAAGCTGCTAGACAATACTTGGAACTTAAAGCTCGTTGGATCTTTTCGTGGCCATGAGGAACTTGTTCTCCGGAGATACTTGAGGAGAAATATACTTCACCATCTTCGTACTCATCCCTGTCCTTTGCAGCCACAAGAGCCTGCCCATGTCAAGAAGCTCCTTGCACTTCATTCCCACCTCCGCCTTCCTGGCACAAACGAGAATAAAAACATTAACAACAGAGAAAAGAAGATCCCACTGGCGACAACTCACTCATCGCAGTTTCCACTCAATGCCCAGCTTGTCATCCAAACCAGAGCCTCAAAATCGGTCTTTGTAAGCCCCATGCTTTGAAAAAACTCTTTGTCTGTCACCCACATTCACAAGCTAGAATCAAAATCCATCCACGCCATGATCATATCAATCTCAAGCACTTACTCACATACGCCTTCCACTGGCAAAGATGATGGCAGCACGTTGCAAAACCAATTCCAAAAACCACGCTTGACTGTGAACAACATCGAAGTGCCATATCTGGATACGCAACTTGTAAAATTTGCCACAAGTGGTAGAGTACCTGTCGCTGCTCCACAAAGGTGCTTCCCTACGGCCACAACCTTCTTGCAGCCCTGGAGAGCGTCCACAGCATCCAGCTTAAGATCTTCAACTGCGGCCATAGAGTAGTGTGAATTATCATCGCCACCGCAACAAAAAAGTAGAAAATAGACTTACTGTCTACTCTAAGCCGCGACAAAGACACGCCAGCTGCGTAGCGAAGAGTTCGATCGGCCTGCGATGTTCCCACCACCGAGTGAGAAATCCGAGAACTCCGTGAATTCATTTTCGTACCTTGAATTTGTAAGATCTTCGTTCGACCAAGATGACGTTGTCCGCAGCATAGCAATCGGAGAGCATGTGTGACAAGTATCCTCTTCCGGCACCAAACTCGATAAAGCACTCCTCATTCCTTCCACGATCAGTATCGCCAAAACTTTCGTCATTTCTTCGCCTGAGCAAGCCGATCTCTTCCAAGTTTCCAAGCATCGAAGCCTGCTGAGAGATATGCTTTTCCTGCATAGGGTGCCTCCTGTTGTGTAAAACCAGCAAAGCAAGCGAAAAGGAAATTCATGAAAGCGAATGAGAGAAAGATACCTGTCGACGTTCGAGCACAGCCACTTTGCACAGGCTGATGGCGTCGCAAAGCTTTCCTGGAGTAGCGACACGCCAGTCCCTCTCTCCGATCTAAAGCAGCTGCTGTGAGCAACCTCGATCTTCATCACGAGCTCCTCGAATTTGTTCTTTGGTAGCGACTCGACCGCCGCTCTCCTGCTGCCAGATTCCACACTGTCCTTCCCTTCCTCCTCGCAATCGCAATCGCTTCCAGCATTGACGCCAGGACTGAAATAGGGGCGATTCTTGGCATCGCGCTCGAGCTTGGCAGCGGGGCATTTGCGCAGATGCGCAGCGATCTTGTGCTCTAGAACCGTGCTGCGGAGCGAGGAAAGCCATGAATCCACAAGCGCAAGAATGGGAGGGCTTACTGTGAGGGATCGATCGGGCATGGAACCCTGGATTGCGACGGCTGATGATTCCCGCAGTAGCTGGAGACGACCGATCGATGGGGAGAGATTGTGAGAAGCAGCGCTAGATTTCTTACTTGGATCCTAGCAGCGCCGAGCCGCCGCAATGCCTGCCCTTCCTGGGCAGCCACACACCACAGCCCATCAGTGTTTGACACGCTAACAGAATATCCCACGTCCCGTTACCGCATATTCCGGCGACAGTATACGGTAGTAGTAGAATGTTTGCTGCCTTATTATGAAAAGAAAGAACAAAAAGAGCAAGAAAGGAGGAGAGGAGAGAAGGGAGGACTGGCAAACTGGAGCGATTGGGACCTAATCGCTAGGAACAGTGGCGCCGGGGCGATCATCGATCCATTCGGAAGAATTCCTTGGCGCCGATCCGGGAATGAATCTTGTCGCGGCAATGGAATTGGATTGAAGGCGGCCGCGGCGGAGGGGAAGATCGAGAGAGGTAGGGGGTTTATTTCGGCCAAGAAATGGTGGAGTGAGAATGTAGATCTGTGTGTTGCGAGAGATCGAGAGCCATTGCGCGATGGATTCCTTCTCACAGTCCCTGGATTTGTTCCCTTGCAGAAATTTCGGATTTGGGGGACAAGACGGCAGCGGGAGGAGATCGATCAAAGGATTTCGGGGGCTCCGACGGCATGGCTATGGTCGAGTTGGTACGCTCTCCCTCCTCGCAATCAGGGCATCGTTGCATCCATCCATCCATCGCTCTCTTTGATTGATTGGCTTGCTCTCTCTCCCGGAATTGCCCCCTTTTTTCTTCCGGTTTCCTATATTCTTGAGCACGACGCACGCATTTGGATGATTTTGTTCCAGGCGGGGACGACGCGCCGCGCAGTGGTGAGGAGCGAGCGATTCATGGAGTGGCAGCGCGAGTTGATCAGGTCCGTGCTCTCGCGCATCGCATCGCATGACCAAGACGCAAAAAATAAAAAAGAAAGAGAGGCTGTGAGCTTTGGAAATTTCGTTGGTTCGTTCGCTGGGCTACTCAATGACGCTGACTGACTGACCATTTGGGTTTTTCCCTTTGCGTGGTTTTGCAGGGGCAGCAGTTATAGCGCACGCAAGCGCCGAGAGAATGAGAGCGAGTGTCATCAACCGGCCAAGAAGTGCTGCATGGTGAAGAAGAGGTATGAAGAACAATCAGATTTTTTTTTTCTTTCGTCGTCGGCTCCAACTTAGCAGCTATGAGCCCTAATGCCTCGTCTTGTTCGTCCTTTACCAGTGGTACGAGTGGCAGTGGCAGTGGCAGTGACGAAATCGAGCTGCTGCTGCCCGACGAGGACAAGGAAAGGAATGGGAGTAATGTTGCTGCGGCCAGTGCTCCTCCTCCGGCCGGGGGGAATGCTGATGAAGACGGAGGTCTTCTCGGCAGCAGGGGTATCAAGGTCATGGCAAAGAAAGAGCAGCAGCACAATCACCACCACCACCACCACCACCACCACCAACAACAACAACAGCAGCAGCAGCAAGTCCACCACCAAGTAGAGCACAAGAAAGGATTGAACGGGAAGGCGACCAAGATGGGGAGCAAGCATGATCCCGACTACCACAAGCCGCCAGATGAAGGGAACTGTCGAATGCGCAGGTGTCACGGCTCTTCCAAGCAAGAACAAGATCAGCAACAGCAGCTGGGGGCTTCTCCAATGCGGCGGACGCAGAGAAGAAGCAGCGAACAGCCGCAGCAGCAGCAGCAGCATCAATCGGATCAGAGGAGCTTCAGGTTCTTGACACGGTAAGTTCCAAAGTTCTTTAGTATTTTTTTTTTCTTCTTTTGTTTCTATCTTTTAAGATCTTGGCTTGGCAGGAACCGAGGTGTATCTCCACCTGTGATCCCCGCTGCCGCTGTGCCAAGCAAGGCCTCGAAGCGATCCAAGCGTGTCGCTCAAAGGCTCGCCAACGAAGAACCTCCGCCGCCGCCTCTCAAGCTCCCAAAGCTCCACCTGGTGCTCACCAGGAAGGAGATTCAGGAGGACTGGATGAAGATCACGGGTCACAAGTACAGTGGCAAGCCAAAGAAATCAACACTCATTCAAAGGGTAAGATCTTTCGATTTGTTTTGTTCGAGACAAACACTTTCATCACTTGGTTGTTGCAGGGATTGGCGCTCTGTACCGCTCTAACTTGCCCGTCCTCGATTCGTTACCTCAATGATCCACAATGTAAGCTAGATCCCCATAGCCGTGTCTTTGTTCTCTTCTAAACAGCTTCTCTTTTGGCAGAGCTTTCGATCGATTCGATCCAAATAGATCCACTCATTCTTATTTGTAAATGCAGTGCTCTGTTTTTAGGGCAGAAGCATTTTCTAAAGCTTAGATGTAACAACCCTGGAAGCAAATCTCGAGCGTCGGTTTTGGTGTGGCCAATAACAGCCGTTGGATGTCGCATTCCCCTCCCTCCTTCCCTAATTTTCTCCCCCAGCTGGCTGGATGGCCGCTTGTTCTACGCCCACAAGCCCTTGCGAAAGATCGCCGCTCGCATCCTCATCCGCGCCTCGGATCGCTCGTCTCGCCAAGGTACGCCGCTCGCCATGATCTCATCGCTGCGATTCTTGCTCCATTTCCCCCTCCCAATCTGGAGCCGCGGATTTTCTCCTCTTTTCTCGCTCGATCGGCGCCTCCTCTTGCATTCATTGCTCCTCGCTCGCTGCGGCCTCTCGCATTTCGTGCCTGAGACAAGCAAAATAATTTTTTTCCTTGATCTTTATTTTTCTTGGTTGTGAGCAGCACCACGGTAGCGTTAGATCAGTCTATTCTCACAGAGGACTTGACAAGCGCAAGAAAGGGACGCTCTTGTATAGCAGCAAGCACTGGGCTGGCTCTCCTCGAGGATCGGGCAGGCCTCGCGTCGCGGTGCCCATCGGAGAGGTCGGCGATGCTCTCATCACTAACAGTGGCCTTCGGGCTTCCGACACGCTGCTCGTCGTTAACTTTGGACCGTACTTGCGGCGCTTGCCGATCAAACGCGTTTGTGTATGGGCAACAGTGGCACTGGTCCTCTTCCAACTACGAGATTTCGTCGGGGTATGGCTTTTATCTTTCCTGGTTTTGTATTGATCCCTTTGGTTGATTTCTCTCTCTCGAAGGTGATAATGGGAACCATTGTGCTATCGATGATTGGAAATACTTTCATAAGCTGGGCAGAAGAGTACTTGCCCGGGAGGAGGCGGTTTTTAATCGCGACCATGTATGTCGTGATCATCGCCGTGCTAACGGGACTTGGTATCATGTACATACCGAGGTTGCTCCAGGAAGGTGCCAATATCATTGGTCGCATTCAGGTGAGTGTAGACTTTAATTCTTTTCTCTCCAGCTTTTCAACTTCTTGCAGCAAAGCGAGAACCCCTACAGCCTTTTATCCGAGAAACTCAAAAGCGCTCTGGGAGAGAATGTGACCGATCAAGTGAGTTCGGACTCGAAAAAAAATAAAATAAAAGAGACTGTCTGCTTTGGTCAGCTAGCTGATTAACCATGTTTCTCTCCCAACAGCTGGAAAGATTTCTTCTTGCCGTGATGAGGCCAGACTCCGTCGTCCGGGTAGGTGTTTCTTTCTACGGAACCTGTTTCTGTACTAAATTTCCAACTCGTTCAGGAGTCCATGGCCGGTAACACCGCTCAAAGGTCCATAATTTTTCAGCAGTTGATAAAGGAGTACTCAGGAGCGATGGTAGCTTGGCTAGCAACTCTCATCTCTGCAACAAGTCGTTTCGCACTGCAGGTTAGCCATTTCCAACGCATTAACACAGAAAGTAATTTTTTTTTTTTGTTTTTCTTTTCTTTTCTTTTGTTCTTGTTTCTCGCGCTTCAGAGTTTTGTTAGTTTAATATTTTCCTTCCTCTTTGTCTGGGATGCGCCTTCTGTAAAAGCAGGTATCCAATCGCTGAAACAAACTAGGCTCTCTGTTGTATATGAGGAGATAGCACCTGTGGTGAGTTTTTTTTTTTCCTCTCTCTCTCTCTCTTTTTTTCTCTAAACGATGACCTCAGGTGGCCACATTCGGGCAAATTTTTGGAAAAGCTTTACAGGCACAGAGCACCATCGCATTGGTAAACACAGTTTTGACAAGCTTAGGCCTCCTGGCGTTGAGAGTGTCTGGAGTAGGATGGCTTTCATTGCTGGTGTTCTTGTGCTCCTTCGTACCCGTGGCGGGAGTTATAATCTCGACGGTTCCCATTGGAATTGTAGCTTTTGTGGAGTAAGTATTTTGCTTCCTTCGCACACATTTAATCGTTGGGTTTGTCCTTTTATTTTCTATCAGGACTGGATTCTTACAACTGAGCTTGGTGGTTTTGATGGTAATACTCATTCACGCTTTGGAAGCGTACGTGCTAAATCCTGCAATATATTCAGGTAGAAAAATATTTATAAAATAGCGGCTAAGTTCCTCTTGTTTTGCGCAGCTCACCTGAAACTACATCCTCTTCTAGCATTGGGTGTCTTGGTTTTTGCGGAGCACGCCCTGGGGGTGTGGGGATTGATTGCAGCAGTGCCAATGGCTGTGTTTTTCATCGAGTACGTTATCAAGAGAAATTCATGCTACCAAGAGAATGTCTAATCCATTTGTCTATAATAACAATAGAATTACTCAGCAAATAGGTTTTTTCAACCTTAATTCTACTTTTATATTAGTGGAAGTATATATATGTGTAAATACTTATATTAGTTAATAACTATAACCAACAAGGTTTAGATTAATATAAAAATTATAACTAAAGAGTGTGTTTGGATTAGTATTAATCTGGACCACTAGGGTCTTGGATTAATTGATATACACATTTCTATATTCTGTTTCTATATTCTATACACTCACATTTATGAAATTTTGATTATCCCTCAAGAATGCTTGGATTTGGGATTTTGGTTTAGATATAGCTTTTACATTGTCTAGACCCAGGATGAAGTCAAATGTTTGACTTAGTATAACGATTAAAGCTCAAGTTTGAAATCACCTATATGCACAACAAGATCTATCTTATCCTATACACATGTATATGTATAATTATTGTTATAAAAAATGAAAATTAGCTCTGCCATATGACACAAATATAGACGGGTACATGTGGCAAAAGGCTGAGTAATAGAAGATAAACTTGAGTTTATATCAGCTAATATGAAGAGAATAATAAAAGACCTTTTATTATAAAAACGAGATTGAAAAGTAAACATTAGATAAATTGGTGCCAAGTGAACCTCTTGATAATACTCCCGAAAGAAAAATGGATAGATCACTAACTTATTCATGTAAAGTCCTTCCATTACTCACACAACTTTTCATTTCTCAACAGAATCTTGGTGTTTAGTTTTTCCATTACAACAACACTAACAAGACATTGTTGATACCAAAGTCTTCACCCAGGAAAATGGAAGTCACCAATCCAGAAACGTTGACAATGTTAATAAGTGTGATCAACTTCATCACACACCTAGTAGCGGATATCACGGCCACAACCACATCTTTACTCTTGTCCTTAAACTTAGGTAATAATAACATCAACCTCCATTAAAACAAAATTATCTCCCATAAAAAGTGGAATTGAAAAATATGCAACAAAAAGTGGAAGAAACAATGTCTCATATATTGTGCCAAACAAAGAGCATCATCAAAGGTAGTTGAAGCAAGTGCATGCATAAGTCCTACAAAATCTTGACAAAGTGTGGGCTACAACATTCCTAACTTGATCTGTTTCGATATAGTTAGCTCCACACAAAACAAGAGGCTTCAGAAATAAATATCAAATTGCATCATTGATTCAAATGGCCCTTGATGAAGACAATGCAATTGTTAGAACGCATCATCAGAATCAACGGTATGTCCAAATATATGGCATTTGAAAGAATACTTTTATTTTTTCAAATAGCTGTGCTTAAACCATTGTACCATTGTAATGTTGTCTTTTGGAAACACATAGGAAACTAATGCAAATATTGAGCATCATTTCAAAAATGATATGTAGCAATCATTGTAAAGATGGTACACATCATCTTTAAGATTCTTATGGAAGAACTTTGGCTAGACATGAGGATTCGCAGCAAGAGTGGAAAGAGTTGTATTATGTGCCATAAATGCTACCATCAATTAAGTCTGATTGTTTAACTACAACCATATAGTATTGAGCAACTACATCAACTACTACTCTAGAGTCAAAAGAGGAGTGTAAGTAACCAAAGAGAACGACTCGAGAGACAATCCATAAGGGTTCAAATATAGAAGGAAAGGGCCCATGAACAAGAATGCGCCCCCTTTTCCAATAGGTGTAAACTCCTGAGTTTGGACTTCCTGGGAGGTCACCCAGCCCAGTACTATTCAAACCCAAGGACGCTTAACCCCAACTATCCCAAGACCCTTAACTGATTGGAAAATGGGGTGCACTTTTGTTCATGGGCCCTTTCCCTCTATATTTGAACCCCTATGGATCGTCTCTTGAGTCGTTCCCTTTGGTTGCTTACAATAGGTTAAAGATCTTGGGATATTTAGGGTTAAGTGTCCTTGGTGTGAATAATATTGGGTTGGGTGACATTTTTGGAAGTCCAAACTCAAGAGCTTACAAGGAGGAAACTACTGCTTTGCCATAAAAAAAATTTTTTATACTTCCTTATATTTTTTTCATTCATCTTATTTCTATTTTTCTTCATCCCTTTATTTTTACTTCTACTTCTATCACGTTTGTCTCCTAATTACTCCTTTCTATACTTTTGTTTAGCTCATAAAGGAGTATGTTAATCTCTTTGAATTTGACTTGTCGTCTGGGGCTAAGATTGCAATATGTTATGTTATTCCAACTGAGGATATTCATCCAATCAAGGTTTTTATTTATTGTTGGTCATCAAAAGATATCAAGATTTTATATGCAAACATGAGAAAAATGTTGAAAAAGGGTGTTATTTGAAAGTTATAGAATCTTTAGGCATGTGAACCTCATCTTGTCATTAAGCCTGATGAGAGTATTCACTTCTGCATCGACTATCAATAATTAAACGATGTAACTATCCTTGATATGTGCCCTCTTCCTTATACTACTGATCTTCTAAATTGTTTGGGGAGAAGTTGTTAATTCACTAAGTTAAATTTTTCTTTAAGGTAATGGTAAATACTGATGACCGAGAATGATGTTTCTAAGACTATTTTTCATAAATCATTTGATTTATAGGAATTCTTGGTGATGCTGTTTGGTTTGTATAATGTTTTAATGACTTTCTAATAGATGATAGACAAAGTTTTTTGTGATATGCCAGAAGTAACTACTAATTTTATTGATGATATTTTGATCCACTCAGAGAGGACATAAAAGGAGCACATCCATGATGTTCAGAAGGTGTTCAATTGGTTGTGGGAAGTTGGTTTAAAACTAAAAAGGTCAAAATGAGCGTTTGAATCTAAGAACATAATTTATTTTGGGTATTATATTTCTCATGAAGGTTTGCAAGTTGATTTTGACAAACTTGTAACCATTTAAAAATTTCTTACTCTAAAGTGTGTGAATAATATATAGTGCTTCCTACGCAAGGTGCAATATCTCAGTCATTTTGTTGATCATCTTTTTTATCATACTATACCATTGCAAGTGTTGTTGCAATCGTCAGATGAAATTTTTCATCTAGTCTAAGGATTACAAACATATATTTACAGATTTCAAATAGTTGTTGACAATTTTTCTAGTTTTAGCGTATCCTAACTACACTCTACCTTTCATTTTGCATGTGAATGCTTTAGATATCAGTGTTAGAGTGTTTTAATGCAGGATAGTATAAATAGGCTTAGTCAACATCATCCCCTTGCATATATTAACTAGTAGAGGTGAACTACTCCATAATAAATAAGTGTTTAGTAGCAATTTAGGGTTTCAAGAAACTTTATGTGTATTTGTATGGTTTTCGAACATTGTTAAAAGGTGATCATACTATAGTTATTTTGGTATTAAAGTAGAAGGATTTAGTTGGTTGTACTACTCAATGGGCTCTAAAGTTTCAATATATGATTTTGAAGCTATTAATCATTTATGGAGTTTCATAGTTAATGCTAATGCCTTTTTTTGAGTTCTTCTTTTTTCTTCTCTCTCCTTACTTATTCTTGACTAGCCTATTATTCTAGCATTTATAGATTTTTTGGATGAGGATTCTGTACTGTCACCAGTTGTTGTATTTGATATTCAATGTCCACAAGGTGTAGAGCAAGATTTAACTTCTCTTGACAAAGTTCAGGCTCAAAAGGTTGAGCTATATATCTGAAAACTTGAAAATCCTACATCATTTGTTAATAACTTGTCATTTCAGCATTTAAATTCTCAATATTACCTTAAGGCAGCCTTCTTTATTTTATTAGGACTGATTTTGATGATCATTTACAACTAGTGGTACCTTCAATATTTATTCTACTCTTTCTCTATGCTTATTATGACTTTTTTATTTTAGGTGGGTATATAGGACATTTGCATGTGACTAAGAAACTAAACAAGTCTTTCTATTGGCTGGAGATGTGATATGATGTTATTCAATATATGCATAATTGTGTTTATTGCCAAACTTATAATACTCTCTTTTGTGTTGCAGAAAGATAGTTAGAGTTAATTGCAATTTCCCGTCCCTTTAAGTTGGTGACATTTAATTTAGTGGGGTTTTTTCCATGGCAATAAGTATATTATTATTGCTTTTAACTACTTAACTTGCTAGATGGAAGTTAGTGCTTTTGTTAATGCATCAACAACTACTATTAAGTACTTCCTTTTTAATCAAATGATGTTCCAATATTTTTGTCTAAAGTTGATTCTCTCAAATAATGGTCATATATTTATGGTTGAGGCATTTTATATTTTAACATCTTGGTTGGGGATACACCACATTTTCATAAATGTTTATCATCCACAAAAAGATGGTTTAGTGGAACAATTCATCCAGATTTTCAAAGGGATGATCGTGAAATATGTGAAGTTTTAGCATTCGGATTTGGATAGTTATTTATTATCTCTTCAGTATATATATATCACAAAGGTACAGAGTTCAATTGGTATTTCACTATATAAACTTTAATATAGTCATGATTCAATACTACCAACAGAGTTAAGTTTACCTTTGTGATTGTAATGAGTTATTGATGCTAAGTCCTAAGATCAAGCATTCTTCCACTTGTTTGAGTGGAGTTTCCTGAACAATTAAACCTGTACAAGTGGAACAATAGCATTATAACTCATACTTATAGAGTATAAAGTGGATAACTTGATGTTAGTTTATTTTCCCAATTTGGTTTATCTAAAAGCTCTTTGCTCAATAGAAGGGATTGTATTAGGTGTTATGACAAGCATCATCATCTATCTGTGGAGTATAAAGTGGACGACTTGATATTAATTTATTTTCCCAATTTTATGGTAGGAAATTGCAAGACGTATTATAATTTACCTGAATGTGGCATTTTCTGGCATTGCATTGAGGGAATTGTGGTTTGTTTAAAAAGCTCCTTACTTAATGGAAGGGACTATATTAAACGTTGCAACAAATTAAATTGCAAGTTTATGAAGTTTAGTATGACATTTAATAGGTTGATCCTTCAGAAATTATGCATATGCAACACTTAAAATGCTTTATACAAAAGAATCACAAACAATTGATACCACCTATAGA